AATTCATCAACAGTCTATCTTTACTCATTATTGTATACATTTATACTAAATGGTAACTAAATACCATATTATTTTTATACATAGCAGCACAGCAGCAATAATTATTCTAGGTATCCCATATATTATGATGTAATAAATACGCACGTCCGTTTATTTCCACGTCCGAGCCCTATCGAGGTCGGGTCGTCGTCTTATTATTACTGAACTAATAATAATATAATAAACCATCGTTATTAATATTTATTAATGGTAGAACCGTCCCGCGGCCGCCGCATATTTCTATTAGGTACGTCTAAGACACAATAAAATATTATTGTTTTCCTTTACGAGTCACTTTATTGTAATAATAATTATACACAAGATTCGCTGTATCAGGGGTGTCACAAATGTGTGATTTCCCCTTCATGTATATAATTTAACCTGTGAACTATCTGTAAAATATTTATATTACTTATTGTACTCGATGTATAGATTGTAATTTTTCATAATAAAGTCAAATATATTTAAAAAAAAAAAAAAAAAAAAGATTCGCCCGAATTTTACATTATACAAGTACGAGTATAACAATTTTAATTGCGGTGACAGAAATAATAATATTTAATACAACACATCATGATATATATAAAATGATTTCTTAAGCATGCACACTCCTGTTTTTCTTTTTTTTTCAATTAATTAATTCAAATTCTGAATTTTAGTATGTTTATATATCGAAGGACCATATTTTAAATTATTTATTTAGAATTTTTATATAATTTAAGGAGTTTTCTGTGATTTTGTCAACTTATTTTTTTCAAATGAAATTCTATCTTTTTTACTATAAATTGTTGATAATTTGCTTAAAAATGTTATGTTTATTTAAATCAAAATTCAGGGTTATTAAAATATAAATACTAACAATAATAGTCTAACAAAATTATAAAATAGATAGGTATCTAGAATTAATATCTATTTTTATTTATTATACTCAAACAATTTTTACAGATATCATAAAATATTAAATAATTACTATAATATTCAATTCATCACAGCTACCATATTTTCCAAACTTATAATGATGAACCTAAATATTATCTTTAGTATCTACATTCTACATAAAGTTAATCTGGTAAACAATTAACAGAAAAAATGTTAAAAAACCGTAATTTGAATAGGAAAAATGGCGGCGATCATGCTTAATGATTATTGACTAATGAATTACTAAAAGAATATTAGTTTTGATTTGTATGTGTATGTATTTTATACGGTGCCACTTTCGGTCACAGGTAATAATTATGTATTAAGTAATTACTATTGTACATCGTCGCGTATATTTAACTATGACTCTACTAAAGTGACGGGTTCATCTTAAGGGCGACGAAATGACATTGCTAACTGATGACCATTTTATTTTTAACTGCTGCAACAGTTGTCCATTGTACTTGTAACGATTTTTTCTCGACTACATTATAACATCGTTTTATTTATATTATTCTATCAATCTCTTAATATTTTTTAGCCGTGTAATTGATAACTAATACTGACCGCTTTTGTTGTTTTCTAATTCTTTAATTATGTGTTCAATCGATAGGTAAATAATCGAAAATCTTATTAGTAGATTCGCAACTCCAAACACTGGTTTACTTCATTACTTGTCACGATTTTAAAAATATAACCGTAGAAACGCGAAACTGAAATGTAGCATTGAAAATAATGTGTAAAGTAAACATTTAGGAGAAGCTATAGAAAAAATTGAGTCAAGAAAAACTAGCGTTCCTGACTCGCTTTATCTTTGGTAACCACCGCAGAACAGTTGAGTCTAAATATATAAGTATTGACTTTAACATACATAATATAATACTGGTAATTAGAGAGTTGTAGTTAAGCCGTGATTTATAATAAATCGTTTCGACGTCATTTCACTAACACGGTTTAGAGGCCGGCAAAACACGTATACCCTCGAACAAAAACAAACGAAATGCGTCGCGTAACGTTACGAGTTATAATATTGAATGGAATACAACAAGTTCAAGCAGTATGTATATTATATATTATAATAAAGTAGTAGTTTATACAGGATGATTATTTTAATTGTAGATGCTAGATCCCGACAACAATATCTATAACGTATTTGAAAATATATTTTTTTTATATAATTTGAATTCATTACAAAAAAATATTTTTATCCTGCGATTATGTTTTTCTAAAAATGTCTATTTATAATACTCAAATTTCGAACACGTGGTCAATTAATTACAATAGTAACCATACCTTTGTATCTAATTATTTGAATCATAATCTGCATAATCCTATATACACTATTAGGTTTAGGTGAGATGAATAATTCAGTCACATAAATTATCAATAGACTGTTTAGTATAAATACAACAATTATCATATATATTAGATTTAAACACAATTGAAATACTTTGAGAATTATACTGTTTTAGAATATGAAATTAAAATATATATCAAAAAAATAACAACAATAAAAATAAAAAAGTAATAAAAATAACATTTTTTTTTTTTTAAACAATTTTATTTATTAAAAACAATTCTTATGGTTTATGAAGTAAGAAAATGTTTTCAAAAATCTTAATATGTTTTAATAATGAAGTTCCTATGCAGTTTTCAGTGACAATAACCGCTCTGTGGGTTATATTACATAACTGCAACACATCGCGATAAACTCAATGACATTTAAGATTTTGCTCACGGGTAGTGGTCAATTATTACGGTGCGTGTGTATAAGCGGTGATGGGGGAGGGGAAGTTAAAACACCAAAAGCAATAAAATCCGCGATTAACACAAGGCAGGCATACACACGTATATATTATTATAATGCTTCATATCCATACATTAAACAACTGTATAGTTTATACGCAGTATTCGTCGTTTAATCGGACGGTAGTCGCGCTCCGGGCAGTAAACGTACATAATGATATGCACAGGTACTTATGCAGTGTACCGTACATAATTTTATTATATATTATTGAACATACGAAATATTATTGTATCCAAAAACTCGAGTATGTTGAGAAACCCACGCGTGTACGGCCGATGCGTATGGATATATTATTCATAAAAAAATTAAATATACACATACAGGGTGTTTCGTCTCGTTAGTCTTCGTAATTTTTGTACATAGTCGCAGAACGCTTATTATAATAGTGTTACACATTTGAACACTCTTCTAATATATACCCACCACCTATAGCTTATAATAGCTTTAATACTTGCCCAACTATTCGAATACGATTCAATAGTAATAACTAATATATATATATATATATATATCGTATGTGTGATTCAACAGTTAACAAGTTAACATAAAATGGATATATTTAAAAAAATTAGAAACAAGATTATAAAATATTATACTACTCCAAGTTCTTTATAATATACTGTGTGTGTGTGTGTGTGTGTGTGTGTGTGTGTGTGTGTGTGTGTGT